AGTTTGGCCACGAGATTTCAAACCTTTCAAGATTATTTTTCCGTTCCACTCCAATTGAAAGAGACCTTTTGGAGCTCAAAATGAAAAAGGAAATATGCTAAACAATACTTGATTCGAAAGACAAGGAACTTGCACTTTTTCCGGCGACGAAATTAGCCTTGATGTTCAAGATAATTCATTCTTGAAATCGATGTGAATTATGGCTTGAAAGAGAAAACTGAGCCTGCTGACTCCAGTCGAGGCTTTGCGACTTTGGGGCTCCTTTTTAGAAAGGTGTTAACATGTCCAAAAATAATTATTTAATATAAGATTTTGTTTTAAAATCGTACACTTTCAGAATTTTCAACACAAAGGTACTTAATTTTCTGGCCGTGAATACTAGTAAACGACGATTCAAGCAGGGTGAGTCTGTTTCGTACTCTAGAATCTAAGGTTGCTCTCCTGAGGCGCCTTGAACAACTCGTACACTTCTCTTGGGTGCATCCACATCTCGATATACGCACAACTAAAGGCACGAACCAATCATTTAATTTCAACTGATGATTTATTTCTCTAAATATTTATGGACTGTTTATCGGTCCATAAGCTGCCTAAGTGTGGAGTCGACCTAAATTTATCCTCAAGTTTATAACTAAAATAGGCCTCTCACAATACAGTCATTTCTTTTCCTGGTGTAATGTAAGAAATTGAAATTTATTCCTATTCTTAGGTCATCGTGCAACTAGAATTTTTTTGCAAAAAGTAGAGTAAAGGCTTAAGATTTTGATACTAGTTCGTGTAGTTCGTGTAGTTCGTGTAGTTCGTGTAGTTCGTGTAGTTCGTGTAGTTCGTATACTATTCTTTGCCAAAAGAAAGCCAGAATGATTAATAAAGCAAAATCATACGAGACCAGCCTTACCAGCATATTTATGCAATGGTTCCTCATTCACGGTTTCGGATCGCAGTGGGATTAAAACTTTCTCGTTAAATTCTTACCACAAACATTAAGGTGGGTGAAACTTTTAGAAGAGCTGAATACGCTTTGTGCCATCGCTTAAAGACATGTTTTATCTTGCAGTGGCGCGTTTCTCGTTCACCTTCAAACACTGTTTCAATTCTGATAATTTTTGAGTTCAATATAAATCACCTGTCGCATGGTTACGGCATTTTATTAATTTACCTTGTTGAATAATCTCGGGACCTCCTAGTGCGATGTTAATCAAAGCTAGTCTTTGGCTAGTAATTACCTCAATTTGCCTTTATATGATTGGTTTGCTAGGTAGTTTGTTAGATTAGCTTGAAAATGTAGTTTTGCTGAATTTTCATGACTCCGACGAACAACTTGATCTGAATATAACATCACACCGGCAGAATAAATAAAAGAAGGACTCAATTTTTTCCCTTGGTTTTAAATTAGATTTGTTGTTGCATAACGATAATTTATCTTTTACCTTTAGTACTTTCCTCATTGTTTATTCTTTCATTCGCGTCTTTAAAAGTTATTTCACGTTACCATGTTAAATCCTCTAGCCCATGCATAGATCAAAATGTTCGTAACGCTTTCATCCTCCAACACGGATGGGAATTTACAGATCTGAGTACAGTCAGGATTGAAGTTCTTTTCCTCATTTTTGCTCCCACCGGTCGATAACCGCATAGTTTTGGTGAATTTGTGGGCGTAAGAGTTTAATTCAGAGCCACCTTAAAAACAATTGAGGAAACCGTTTAGACAATGAGGTATGCGATTTTCAAGAGTGTACTAGAGCACGCGTTGGAAGGGAAGTCTCAATTCATCCTGGATAACGCAAAATATATATATGGCTCTTACACTAAAGGCATCTATGTCAAACTCTCAGCAAACTTTTGAACATGAACGCAGGCGTGCATCGCAACCAGATATCAAATTAAGCGTTGTCAAGCGTGCCAGATGTCACAATCGAGAATATTAAACAAATAGAGGAACAAAGACTTTTGAATCATTCCTGAATTGTTTATCACAATAAAGTTAAAATGCCACAGGGGTGAGAACAGTAGAACTTATGAATCCAATTGATACATTGATGCACCAAATCTCAGGAAAAGCAACATCACAATGTAGCTCCTCGAAAAATGTTTTGAAAGATAAGCCTTTAGCGATGACATATCTATTTCTGCCGAAACTACTGGTAAGTGTGGAACAGCCAAGTCATTGAAGTTTTATGAGATAAGCTAACTACAAAATCTTTCCTAATTCCTTTGTTTTCATGAGTTTTGAAAGTTTGATTACAACATAGAAAGTACTTTGAAATCAAAGAAGCTCACTTCAAACTTTATCATTCCGATTTATATTCGTAGATTGTGAATAAACTTTGAAGACCAAAAGGTGCCTAGTTGTCCAAAAAAGAAAAAAAATGTTAATATCAATTTACTGATGATTCTCATAACAATCCAAAAAATATCCTTGTTCCTTTGAATTATATTAGGATTGTTTCATTCGATAAGTCCTTATCGCTCATTTCCAAGAGTCATGATTCTCTGTCTTCATTTCATAATGAGGGCTTTCACTCTTTCATGAACATAATTGCCGACGACAGTGAAGATTGTAGTTAAGAATATCTCACATGTACATAAAGGTCGTCTGATTTTTGTTGGTAGTGTGAAATAAGTTGCTGATATAACTTTTCCCAAAACGGAACCATTGTTATTTCGGGAAAACGAACTTTTTAAAAGGAGAATCTACAGAAATCAGTGATATGTGGATATGGTGGATAGTTTAAAAATTTTTTTATTCGATCCTGCAGATTTCAAAAAGTTTATTAAAGGATCAAAACGTGCAGTGGCAGGGGATTTATTGTTCTTCGAGAATCATATTACGAATGTTTACATAACAATGCACGAAGACATAAATTTTTAATTGATTTTAGCAATCTTTATAGATACAAATTTTTTTCAAATCTAAGAATTTTTTATATTTACCACCTAGAATTGACTTAGCACAGGTAACTCATGGTTGTTCTTCGTTTATTTTGCGCACCGTAATTATTAAGCTATATATGATTCATTGGTTTAACATAGAAAAATGTATCATGACTTATCTTCAAAGTAGAGAGAAATAATTAGGCGTAGGGGTGACCTTGGCTGTGAAATCAAAAGTCCAAAAAGTAGTGCGAAACCTCTCAATAATTTTTAGGCTGCAAATCTTTTTCAATCATTTTTAATCAGAAGTGTCACATCGATGGTAGTGTTGTTGTTTACCAGGATATATTCAGAATGAATGAAAGAGTGTTTGAGATACTGCAGGCATCCAGCTGTTTTTTTCCCGAGACCCAACTCGTATTCTACATGCAAATGAATCTTTATACGACAAAATTTATTCTTTGAAGTATGGTATACAGGAAGAAAGTACTTTTCACTTCGACACAAACTTCGGTTATCCGCTAGACAATGATGTGGTTATTTTAAAAGAGTATTTTTTACTCACAAAGTCACCGACACGTGACGCTTGGAAAAAAAGAGCTAAATAGAAAACTCTGATAAAATTTCTATTCATTTTGATGAAATATTTGTTTTTTGCCATAAATAAACAAATTGCTGATCTTGAGGTGCCACGCTCGGTTTGTTCCAAGTATCATGTAAACAGTTTATAAGTAAATTGGGTAATTTAGTGTTAACAACTGAGTTGACAACGTAAATTGGCCACTGTAAAGAGTGAAAAGGCTGACGTTTCGAGCGTTAGCCCTTCGTCAATCGCTCTCACGAAGGGCTAACGCTCGCAACGTCAGCCTATTCACTCTTTACGGTTACTAATTTACGTTTTCAACTCAGTTGTTAACACTAAATTACCTGCTATACTCTCCCACCGAAGCGGCACCACAGTTTCTTTAAAAATTACCCACTTTATTTAAAGGGGAATTAGTTGCAAACCCCTCCCCCCCCAAAAAAAATTGTTAGAATGGGAACTTTTTAAGTCAATAGCTTTCATACGATGACAGAGCAATAGGGGACACGTTTCACATTTAAACCTACGAAATATAAAGACCCCTACACGTCATAGAGTCTTCGTGGCTCAGTGGTAGGACTTCGGGGCACGAAATCCTAGGGGCTGAAGTTCGATTCCTCGTGTAGACTCAGAATTTTTCCCATGTCCCTCGGTCCTGACGAGACGAAAAAACATCTCTCCGTAGTAACAAAATATTTCTAAGCAGCTGAGACAAGGATCGAGTTGATTAAAGTTTAACCAATGGAGAACACATCGGATTGGTCCATTTAGACTGAAATAGGTACCGTATCATTTGTAGAGTGAGTCACACAAGCACATTTATTTACATATCTTAACGGAAACGACCTTTTATTGTTTTTTGCAGGACCCTGGCCTTTTTATTGTAGTTATAGTAGTATTTCAAGCCATTAAGACTGCTCAGGCGGGTAAGTTCAACAATTGATGTCATTTCTAATGAAATCAGTCGTTTTTAATTCACAGATAAGTAGTGATGGAGCAATTTAGAACTATATGTAAAAAAAATACATAAAAGAAACAATACTTACCAATACTTGTTAAAATTAACGAAAAACAATATAGTTACAATGCCAACAATGCCCAAAGTATTTGTTCTCTTTGGTTACAAGACAATTTTCCATTGGAAGTAGAAGTTACCAAAAGTTTTGACATTACTTTATTGTATCTGTGCATAGACCATTGCCTTCAATTGAAATTTTGATGTCTAGAAAAGCCAAATAAGTGTCAGAAATTTCCCACGTGTATTTCAGAGCCGGGTGAAAGAAATTGACGGTGGTTTTAAATTAAGTGCCACTCTCGCTAAGAGCGGTCCTCTCGACTTCCCGTCGGAGAAAAGTTTTCTTTTATTTTTTGCCCGTGAAAAGGGTTTAGGACACATGTTTCAAAAATAGTTTA